CCTGTCAACACACACACACACACACACACACACACACACACACACACACACACACCAAGTCAGCCAATGAGATGCAAACAGAAGGCCAAAAGGAATAATAATTAAAATAAAAAAAAACAATATACAGCACCACGTGTGTACATACATACAGTACGCGTGTATACACTTTTGCAAACGTTTGATTTTTTTTTTTTTTTTTGCCCTGTACTCTATTTTCCACCCCCAAACTTTGCTTTTCACTGTTTTGTGCTCTTTCTGAAACGGCCCTTAGACCCCTGGCATATACAAGTAGTGCTTTGGCGCCATCTCATAGCATCTTGGTGCCAAGGAACTCAGTGAGAGCAACGTCATTTAGAAACTGAAAAGTAGTGCTTTGGTGCCATTTTGAGGCATCTTAAAGGAAATGTTAATGACTTGTGGCGTTTTGGGATTGGCGGTCGCGCTCAGTATCAAGCAGGGTTACTGTACACTTTACATAACATGTACATACTGTATATACACTACTCATAATCAGCTTGTAGTTTTGGCTTAAGGGGTGAAATTTCCAGACCACCTAAAATGCCCCTGAGATCTTTGCGGGTCAACCTAATTTAACATTGTGTCAAATTTTCAATTTTGGGGGACTACTTTTTGCACTTGCTGATTCGCGGGAAGGAGCCATTTTGATTCGAAGCTGATATTTTTTGGGCTTTTTGGCCATTTCAAGGGACAGAAATTCCACCCCACAAAGCCAGTTTGACCTAGCAACATGGAATTTGGTAGTGTCAGAGTAGGCCCACCCAAAAAAGTCTCAAGCCATTCCAGAAAAAACTTTGTCATTGTGATTTCAAGTGCATGTTTTAGTTTGATCATTTCCAGGGATCTGCCGAAGCCAGTTTGACTGAACAAGCAACATTAAATTTGGCCGACAAGTCAGTCATTAGCAGACCCCCCAAAAAAAAAAAAAAAAAAAAGCTTCAAGAAGCCATGCAGCAGAAGATAAAAGGAGTCTGTCATTCTGATGAGAAGCAGGCATTTTAGGTGGTTTTTGGCCAATTGCAGGGGGCCCTTCAAAGCAATTCCTCCCCAGAGATTTTTGTTACAAAAATTGGATCCTGTTAAGTAGACAAATGGACAACATTAAATTTCGAGGATCTTGAGGGTACAGTATTTTTTTTCTTCTAACTTTTCAAACCATACCTCAATATATATATATATAATAAAAAGTCTAACAAATAAAGATAAACACTGAGGCCCACCAGAGTTCCCTTTTCATGTGTACCCCACACTCAACACACACACACACACATACACACACACACATTCTCTGAACCCATGTGTGTGATACTTAAGCACGTTGGTGACAAGAGGATTGGCCTCCATGTTCTTGTCAAATGCAAACGTATACATGTGTCAATAATGTGTCAGGGTGTTATTGAATGTATTGCTGCTCCCTGTTGGCCCAAGTGTAAAAATATAAAGTAGCGAGAGAGCCACACACTCCAAAAGAAAACGACGACTATACTACGACGACAATGGGAGTGTTTCTCCCAAAAAGTCAGAGCTTTCTTTTTGGGAGGTGAGTAGAGCCGTCTTTGAAGATTTAAAGTTACCATATTACAAGATTAAAGTCCTGTCCGATGAAAGTACTTGAAAAGAATTAATGTTTTTTTCAAGAAAAAAAAATTACATTTTTTTTTTTCAAGAAAAACGTTGAATCCCCACAAGAATAAAATTTTGCTACAGGTTAAAGGTGTATTACTGAAAGATTTAAGTTGTTTTTCCCATCCAATTTTATAGAGAAAAAAAATGGTCATATTACACCAATAGACATCAAAGAAAGTATTTTTTGAGACAAGTCACCCTTTTATGGGAGAAAAAAAATGTCAACTGATTTTTTTTTTTATTTTAGTTTTTTCAAAGAACAGTCACATTTTGGCCTTTTATTCGCACCTTCCTGCCACAATTTTAGTTTGGAACAAAAGCAATCGAACATTTTTTCAACTTTATCATTGTGATTCTTTTGTATTTTGATTGTGGCTTGAACAATCGCTGGTGTGACTGTGGGGGTGGTGCGTGGTGTTAAAAGGTTTTTGTGGCGGGGCGCGGGGGGGGGGGGGGGGGGGGGGGCACCATTAAAAATATTTCTCTAGATCAATACAATGTACAATATGTCAGTTATAAAGTCAAAGTTGTTTTTGGAAGAAAAAAAAATCAAGGGAAAACGTAGCCTTCTTGTGTGAGTAACATTCATTTTTGAACGATTTTAAAATTTAAATTTGGTCATGTCATGACAAGGTCGAATTTATTGAAAAGAAAAATAGTGTGGGGGGGAGGGGGTCCATACATATATCTTTTTAGAACATCATTTTATTTTTGTTGTTTTATTGAGATTGAATAAATTTTTTGGAATGTTTTGACAAAACCAGGCTTAAGTGTGCCAAAATGAAAATTTTGTGGATGGTTTATGAGGGGAAAGAGCAGACCTTAAGGAATAAAATGATGCATGTTCCATGCAAATCGAAACCAAATTGATGATTTATTTATGATGATTTGAAGCACCCAGCCAAGAAAAGTTTGTAAAATTTTGAGAAAATAAGCTTTGGAAATGCGGAACACTTAAAATTATGAATGGAAAGAAAACACTCTTGGGATTCTGATGACATAAATTGTATTTTATTTTATTAATTTTAAATGACATACATTTTCTGGACTCTATGCATGTTAGCTCATGGCATATTTCCAGGGGAAAGCTGCGGATTGGTACAAACTTCCCGTTTCCGTTTATTGCAAGCTACTGGGACGCCATCTGGAGGAAAAATATCCTCATTCTTATAAATGTTCTTGACGTGGGTCTTAATAGCTCGGAGCTGGTGCCAAAGTAGTGACTTTTGAAACACGAAGGAATCCCTCTCTGTCGTGTGCCGGCTCAGCCGGTACTATAAAGGAGATTTGAAAATTTAAACGGTACATTCGGTGAGGTTAAACGATTGCAACATCGAATCAATGAAGGTCGTCTGTCCGTCTTTCGCTTTGTTTTTCCTTGCCTGGCTCGGCAACGGCGAGTCACAAAGCTGTCCTCTGTCCCCCCCCCCCCGCGGCACTCACAGCTTGCGCGACCACTCCGTCACGAAGCTCCGTAGTAAATTTTAGAAATGTATTTTCAGTCCTCCACGGTTGAGAGTAGTTTCAAAACAAACTTATCTTTTATATGACAGAAGAAACAAAAAATAATTTTCAGTCACTTTTTTGGGGGGAAAAAAAATCACCATTTGCAGCCTTTGAGTAAGCGCGACATACGCCTGATTTTGTGAAAACCCATCAGATAAGGGGGTGTATATATTTTTTTCTCTTTCTTTTGGGGGTAGTTTTTTTTTCATTTTGGTACAGGAGGGGGTTTTTTTTTTTCTTTTGAGTGTGGCTCTAACACTTGACAGTAAGAAAGTGACTGCGTGTGCATTTTTAAGAAGCATACATCTCTTCATGATGCTCTCAGTCCAAAATAACACCACATTTGTTTTCAAACAAAAAAATTCTAAAAACAACATGTGCATTATGATTGTTCTCTGCTTTGCCTTTGTTGCAAGGGGTAGTAACATCGAAAAGATGAAGTGGAAATGTGAAGCGTGCGCCCCAGGGAGCCCATGTGAATGTGGACACTTCATAGGAGCTTCGCACACAACAAAACCAGAGAAGAGGAAATAAATGTCTCAGAGGGGGCGGGGGGGAATTTCACTGCGGGCTTGGGGGGTGCGGTCCTGCGATACAAACACGTGAAGTCATCATCCTTGTCGGAAGCAGAAGAAGAAGAGGGATTCAAGTCAAACGACTGACAGACGGACAGACACGGCACAAACGTTACACTCAAGCGTTTCCTCGCTGCACCTTTACGCGTCCCGCTCCCGTCTTTCCGGTTGTCTTCCTACTCTTTGTGGGTCCGGCGGCGCCCCCGCGGGCTGCCGATGGCAGTCCCCTTCCTGCGCGGACGCCAGCGAGGGCACCAAAAACGAAGGGTCCACTGTACTTTGGCTCTGCTCGGCCTCCTGCTGGCTTGGCCGCTGCTCCGGCTCCCGTTCCGGCCCCTCTTGCGGCTCCTTGCGCCAGTCCAGGTCGTCAGAATGTTCCGACTCCTGACGGCACGGGGTTTCTGGCTCCGGCTCCTTGTGCGAATCGGGCTCGTGACACTGGGGCGCCCGCTCGGACTCGTCCCGCTCTCGCCGCCGCCTCCTCTTGGGGCTCCCCGGGGAGCTGTCATTAGCGGAGGCGCCGGGCGGCACGGCGGGTAGCGCCATGATTCCGCCGTGCGGCAGAAACATGTGCGGGTAGAGGAGGCCGTGTGACATGCCGGGTATCAGGAAGGGGTTGAACGTCAGATG